GGTGCTGCAGTGGTTGTTATCATAGCATGTGATGTTGTTGATGTTGTTGTGGGAGCAGCTGTTGTTGATGTGGGGAAGGCTTTAGCTTTTGTAGCCGCATCCGTTGTTGTCATAGCAGCAGCAGTGGTTGTTGTGGGAGCAGCTGTGGTTGTTGTGAGAACGGCTGTGGTTGTCGGAGCTGTGGCTGTGTTTGTTGTTGGTGCAGATGTGGTTGGTGTTGGAGCTAATGTAGTTGTTGTAGAGGAAGCAGTTTTGGTTGTCGGATCTGCTGTAGTTGTTGTCGGAGAAGATGTTGTTGTTGTTAGTGTATCTGTGGTTGATGTAGGATCAGCTGAGGTCATCGTTGGTGCTGCAGTGGTTGTTATCATAGCATGTGATGTTGTTGATGTTGTTGTGGGAGCAGCTGTTGTTGATGTGGGGAAGGCTTTAGCTTTTGTAGCCGCATCCGTTGTTGTCATAGCAGCAGCAGTGGTTGTTGTGGGAGCAGCTGTGGTTGTTGTGGGAGCAGCTGTGGTTGTTGTGGGAACAGCTGTGGTTGTTGTAGGGGAAGCTGTTGTAGTTGTTGGAGCAGCTGTCATTGTTGTAGAGGAAGCTATTTTGGTCATTGGATCTGCTGTGGTTGTTGTGGGAGCAGCTGTGGTTGTTGTTAGAACGGTTGTGGTTGTCGGAGCTGTGGCTGTGTTTGTTGTTGGAGCAGATGTGATTGGTGTTGGAGCTAATGTAGTTGTTGTAGAGGAAGCAGTTTTGGTCGTTGGATCTGCTGTAGTTGTTGTCGGAGAAGATGTTGTTGTTGTTGGTGTATCTGTGGTTGGTGTAGGAGCAGCTGAAGTCATCGTTGGTGCTGCAATGGTTGTTATCTTAGCATCTGATGTTGTTGATGTTGTTGTGGGAGCAGCTGTTGTTGATGTCATGATGGCTTTATCTGTTGTAGCCGCAGCATTTGTTGTCGTAGCAGCAGCTGTGGTTGTTGTTGGAGCAGCTGTGGTTGTTGTAGAGGAAGCTGTTGTGGTTGTTGGAGCTGCTGTAGTTGTTGTCGGGGAAGATGTGGTTGTTGTGGGTTTATCTTTGGTTGTTGTGGGAGCAGCTGTGGTTGTTGTGGGGACTGCTGTGGGTGTCGGAGCTGTGGCTGTGGTTGTTGTCGATGCAGATGTGGTTGTTGTGGTAGCAGCTGTGGTTGTTGTGGGAACAGCTGTGGTTGTTGTAGGGGAGGCTGTGGTTGTTGTAGGAGCAGCTGTGTTTGTTGTTGAGATTACTTTGGTTGGGATGACTTTGGTTGTTGTAGCATCAGCTGGTGTTGTTGTGGGTACATCTGTGTTTGTTGTAGGGGATGGTGTTCTTGTCATTGGAACTGCTGTAGTTGTTTTCTGAGGAGATGTGGTTGTTGTGGGTGCATCTGTGGTTGTTTCGGTAGCATCTGTTGTTGTTGTAGCCACAGCTGTTGTTGCCATAGCAGCAGCTGTGGTTGTTTTGGAAGAAGGTGTTGTTGTTGTTGTTGTGGGAGCAGCTGTGGTTTTTGTGGTGATGGCTTTGGTTGTTGTAGCCGCAGCAGTTGTTGTCGTAGCAGCAGCTGAGGTTGTTGTTGGCGAAGCTGGGGTTGTTGTGGGCGCATCTGTGGTTGTTCTGGGAGAAGCTGTGGTTGTTGTGAGGATTGCTGTGGTTGTCAGACCTGCGGGTGTGGTTGTTTTTGGTTCAGATGTGGTTGGTAGGGCAGCAGCTGTTGTTGTATCCACAGATGTTGTTGTCAAAGCAACAGCTGTTGTTGTTGTGGGAGAAGCTGTGGTTGTTGTAACTGTGACTGTGGTTGTTGTCGGTGAAGATGTGGTTGTTGTGGGAGCAGCTGTGGTCGTCATAGATCTGGCTGTGGTTGTTGTGGGAGCAGCTGTGGTTGTTGTAGTGGAAGCTGTTGTGGTTGTGGGAGCTGCTGTAGTTGTTTTCAGAGAAAATGTGGTTGTTGTGGGTGCATCTGTGGTTGTTGTGGGAGCAGCTGTGGTTGTTGTGGGGATGACTTTGTTTGTTGTATCCGCAGCTTTTGTTGTCGTAGCAGTAGCTGTGGTTGTTGTGGAAACAGCTGTGGTTGTTGTAGGAGCAGTTGTAGTTGTTGTAGAGGATGCTGTTGTGGTCGTTGGATCTGCTGTGGTTGTTGTCGGAGAAGATGTTGTTGTTGTGGGTGTATCTGGGGTTGTTGTAGGAGCATCTTTAGTCGTTGTTTGTGCTGCAGTGGTTTTTGTTGGAGCAGCTGTTGTTGTAGCCACAGCTGTTGTTGTCTTAGCAGCACCAGCTATGGTTGTTGTGGGAGAAGCTGTGGTTGTTGTAGGGACGGCTGTTGTTGTAGCCGCAGCAGTTGTTGTCATAGCAGCAGCTGTGGTTGTTGTGGGATCAGCCGTGGTTGTTGTAGGGGAAGCTTTTGAGGTAGTTGGAGCTACTGTAGTTGTTGTCGGAGAAGATGTGGTTGTTGTAGGTGCATCTGTTGTAGTTGTAGCCACAGCTATACTTGTTGAAGCTGCAGCTGTAGATGTTATTGTTGTTACTGTGGTGGTAATTGTTGCGTGAGAAGCTATGTTTGTTGTGGGAGCAGCTGTGGTTGTTGTGGGCAGGGTTTTGGCTGTGGTTTCCGCAGTTGTTGTTGTAGCAGCAGCTTGGATTGTGGTTGTATCATCTGTGGTTGTTGTGGGCTCAGCTGTGGTTGTTGTAGCCACAGCTGTACTTGTCGTAGCTGCAGCTGTAGATGTCATTGGCGTTGCTGTGGTTGTAGTGGGAGCAACTGTTGTTGTTGGGATGGCTGTGGTTGTTGTTGGCCTAGCGGTATTTGTCGTAGCAGCAGCTGTGCTTGTTTTGGGGGAAGCTATGGTTGTTGTAGCCCCAGCAGTAGACGTCATTGCTGCTGCTGTGGTCGCTGTTGGACCAGCTGTGGTTGTTGTCATGGAAGTTGTTGTGGTTGTAGAAGCTGCTGTAGTTTTAGGAGCAGATGTGGTTGTTGTTGGGCAAGTTGTTGTTGTGGGAGCAGCAGTGGTTGTTGTGGGAGAAGCTGTTGGTGTTTTGGGAGCAGCTGTGGTTGTTGTGGGACCAACTGTGGTTGTTGTAAGTAAAGCTGTTGTGGTTGTGGGAGCTGCTGTAGTTGTCGGCGCGATTGTGGTTGTTGTGGGTGAATCTGTGATTGTTGTTGCAGCAGCTGTGGTTGCTGTGGGCAGAGGTACGGTTGTTGTTACCACGGTTGTTGTTGTTGTAGCAGCAGCTGTTGTTGTTGATGTGGGAGTAGCTGTGATTGTTGTGGGAGAAGGAGTTGTTGTTGTTGTGGGAGCATCTGTGGTTGTTGTGGGAGTGGCTGTTGTTGTTGTGGGAGCCGCTGTGGTTGTTATGGAAGAAGCTGTGGTTGTTGTGGGTGTAGCTGTGGTTGTTGTAGCCACAGCTGTACTTGTTAAAGCCGCAGCTGTATATGTTATTGGTGTTGCTGTGGTTGTAGTTGGTGCAGATGTGTTTATTGTGGGAGCAGCTGTTGTTGTTGTGGAAGCAGCTGTGGTTGTTATGGGCAGGCTTTTGTGTGTTGTTGCCGCAGCTGTTGTTGTTTCAGCATTAGCTGTGCTTGTGGTTGGTGCAGTTGTGGTTGTTGTTGGCTCAGCTGTTGTTGTCGCAGCAGCACCTGTGGTTGTGGTTGAAGCAGCTGTGGTTGTTGTAGCTGCTTCAGGAGATGTTATTGGTGTTGATGTGGTTGTCGTAGCTGCAGCTGTAGATGTCGTTTGTGTGGCTGTGGTTGTTGTGGGAGCAGCTGTTGTTGGCACGGCTGTGGTTGTTGTTGGCACATCTGTTGTTGTTGTAGCAGCAGCTGTAGTTATTTTGGGGGAAGCTGTGGTTGTTGTGGGTGCGGCTGTTGTTGTTGTAGCCACAGATGTACTTGTTGTAGCTGCAGCTGTAGATGTCATTGGTTTTGCTGTAGTTATTGTGGGAGCAGCTGTTGTTGATGGGACGGCTGTGGTTATTGTTGGCACATCTGTTGTTGTCGTAGCAACAGCTGTGGTTGTATTGGGGGAAGCTATGGTTGCGGTAAGGGAAGCTGTTGTGTTTGTGGGACCTACTGCAGTTGTGGAAGCATATTTGGTTGTTGTGGGTAAATCTTTGATTGTTGTTGGAGCAGCTGTGGTTGTTGTGGTCAGGGCTTCGATTGTTGTAGCAGCTTTTGTTGTAGTAGTCGTGTTATTCTGGAGTTCTGTATAAAAAAAGATTTGATTTCGACCATTAAAATTATACTAGAAATCTGAAAAACTTGCTCAACTTAATTAGTTGGCAACCCAATACCAAAGGCCAGCTACTCTACCCCCCCGTCATGTGTTTGAATTTTAATACGTATTGTGTTTAGATTCATCCTTACCAGCATTGATACTGCCAGTAACAACGTCCAAGAAGACTGTCGACGTGTTTATGGATGTCTTGAGGGAGTCCTCTACATTTGTAACGTTGGGGACCACAGACTGGTTTGTGAAGATCAAGTTGGTTGTCACACCCACAGAACCAGACCTAAATATCAAAGAATAGAATTAATGTGAAATGCAATAAAAGTTATTATTGTTATTAGTAGTAGTATTAGTATTATTAAAGAATGGTAAAGATGTGAGTAATACACTTAATCTATCTGCAATTAAGTAAGCTGTAGAAATGTGGACCAAAAGGAAAACTGAACATACCAGAAACGGATGATGACGCATCTGAGGAAGATTACAGGATATATTCCTTTGTATCCTCGATTCAACTGTAGAAAGAAATCAGTGCACACAGTAAGCAATAGAAGGAAGAAAAAAACAAGTAACTCACAAGCAAGTTTTGTTTTAAATTGTCCATTTCAATATTCCTGCTGATGTTGATGACAAACATTTACCTCAGATGTGACATTTAAAGCCAGAGAAAGGTACTCCATGGACTGTGGACTTTTGTAGGCTTCCAAAAACGTTCCTTGCAGCCGGAACTGTAGAATAAGTACACCTTCATTTGTTGTTGGATGGCCAGTGGAATCATTGGTTGGGGAAACAGTAGTTGTTGGAGCAACAGGTTTTGTTGTTGTAGCAGTAGCTGTAGTTGTCGTTGGTACAGCTGTGGTTATCATTGGTGAAGCTGTGGTTGTTGTCTGAGCAACTGTGGTTGTTTTGGTGGAAGCTGTGGTTGTTGTGGGGGTGGCTATGGTTGTTTGTGGGGATGGCTGTTCTTGTTGTAGCCATAGCTGTTGGTGTCGTAGCAGCATCTGTGGTTGATCTGGGGGAAGGTTTGGTTGTTGTATCCCCCGCAGTAGACAAAATTGGTACTGCTGTTGTCGTTGCGGTAGCAGCTGTGGTTACAGCTGTGGTGGTTTTAACTGTGGCTATGGTTGTTGTCGGTGCAGATGTAGTTGATGTGGGAGCAGCTGTGATTGTCATGGGTGCAGCTGTGGTTGTTGTAGGGGAAGCTCTTGTGGTTGTTGTCGGGGAAGCTCTTGTGGTTATGGGAGCTGCTGTAGTTGTCTGAGAGAATGTGGTTGTTGGGGGTGCATCTGTGGTTGTTGTGGGAGCAGCTGTGGTTGTTGTGTGGACGGCTGTGGTTGTTGGAGCTGTGGCTGTGGTTGTTGTTGGTGCAGATGTGGTTGGTGTAGCAGCAGCTGTTGTGGTTGTGGGAGCTGCTGTAGTTGTTGTGGGGACGACTTTGGTTGTTCTAGCCGCAGCTGTTGTTGTCCAAGCAGTAGCTGTGGTTGTTGTTGGAGCTGCTGTACTTGTTGTAGAGGAAGCTGTTGTGGTCGGTGGATCTGCTGTAGTTGTTGTCGGGGAATATGTTTTTGTTGTTGGTGTGTCTGTGGTTGTTTTAAGGGGAGCTGTTGTGGTTGTGGGAGCTGCTGTAGTTGTTGTCAGAGAAAATGTGGTTGTTGTGGTTTTATCTGTGGTTGTTGATGGAGCAGCTCTGGTTGTTGTGGGGAAGAATTTGATTGTTGTAGCTGCAGCAGTTGTTGTCGTAGTATCTGCTGTTGTTGTTGTGGGATCAGCTATGGTTGTTGTAGAGGAAGCTGTTGTAGTCGTTGAAGCTGCTGTTGTTGTTGCCGGAGAAGATGTGGTTGTTGTGGGTGCATCTGTGGTTGTTGTAGGAACAGCTGTGGTTGTTGTTGGTGCAGATGTGGTTGTGTCGGTAGCATTTCTGGTTGTTGGCGCTGCAGTTGTAGTTGTTGTGGGGATGGCTGTTGTTGTCGTAGCCTCAGCTGTTGTTATCATAGCTGCAGCTGTTGTTGTCGTAGGGGAAGCTGTGGTTGTTGTGGGAACAGCTGTTGTTGTTGTGGGGACAGTTGTTGTTTTTATAGCCACAGCTGTAGTTGTCGTAGCAGCAGCAGCTGTAGTTGTTGTGGGAGAAGCTGTGGTTGTTTTGGATGGAGCTATGGTTGTTGTGGGAGCAGCTGTTTTTGTTGCTGGGATGACTTTGGTTGTTGTTGGGATGACTTTGGTTGTTATAGCCTCAGCTGTTGTTGTGGGAACAGCTGTGGTTATTGTGGGTACAGCTGTAGTTGTTGTAGGGGAAGGTGTGGTGTTCATTGGAACTGCTGTAGTTGTTGTCTGCGAAGATGTGGTTGTTGTGAGTGCAGCTGTGGTTGTTGTTGGGATGACTTTGGTTGTTATAGCCTCAGCTGTTGTTGTGGGAACAGCTGTGGTTATTGTGGGTACAGCTGTGGTTGTTGTAGGGGAAGGTGTGGTGTTCATTGGAACTGCTGTAGTTGTTGTCTGAGAAGATGGGGTTGTTGTGAGTGCAGCTGTGGTTGTTGTTGGGATGATTTTGCTTGTTGTAGCCTCAGCTGTTATTGGTCTGGGAACAGCTGTGGTTGTTGGTAGATCAGCTGTGGTTGTAGTGGGTACAGCTGTGGTTGTTGTAGGGGAAGGTGTTTTGGTCATTTGAGCTGCTGTAGTTGTTGTCGGAGAAGATGTGGCTGTTTTGAGTGCATCTGTGGTTGTTTCGATAGCAGCTGTTGTTGTTGTAGCCACAGCTGTTGTTGACGTAACAGCAGCTGTGGTTGTTGTGGAAGAAGGTGTTGTTGTTGTTGCCGCAGCTGTTGTTATCATAGCATCTGATGTTGTTGATGTTGTTGTGGGAGCTGCTGTTGTGGCTGTGGGGTCGGCTTTAGTTGTTGAAGCCGCAAAAGTTGTTGTCATAGCAGCAGCTGTGGTTGTTGTTGGAATAGCTGTATTTGTTGTCAGAGAAGATGTGGTTGTTGTGGGTGCATCTGTTGTTGTTCTGGGAGAAGCTGTGGTGGATGAGGAGACGGCTGTGGGTGTCTGTGCTGTGGCTGTGGTTGTTGTCGATGCAGATGTGGTTGTTGTGGTAGCAGCTGTGGTTGTTGTGGGAACAGCTGTGGTTGTTGTAGGGGAAGATGTTGTAGTTGTTGGAGCAGCTGTCATTGTTGTAGAGGAAGCTGTTGTGGTCGTTGGATCTGTTGTGGTTGTCATGGGAGAAGCTGTGTTTGTTGTGAGGACGGCTGTGGTTGTCGGAGCTGTGGCTGTGGTTGTAGTTGGTGCAGATGTGGTTGGTGTTGGAGCTGCTGTAGTTGTTGTAGAGGAAGCAGATTTGGTCGTTGGATATGCTGTAGTTGTTGTCGGAGAAGATGTTGTTGTAGTTGGTGTATCTGTGGTTGTTGTAGGAGCAGTTGTAGTCATCGTTGGTGCTGCAGTGGTTGTTATCATGGCATCTGATGTTGTTGATGTTGTTGTGGGAGCAGCTGTTGTTGATGTGTGGACGGCTTTAGTTGTTGTAGCCGCAGCATTTGTTGTCATAGCAGCAGCAGTGGTTGTTGTTGGAGCAGCTGTGATTGTTGTAGATGAAGCTGTTGTGGTCGTTGGAGCTGCTGTAGTTGTTGTCGGGGAAGATGTGGTTGTTGTGGGGGCATCTGTGTTTGTTGTGGGAGCAGCTGTGGTTGTTGTGGGGATGGCTGTGGGTGTCGGAGCTGTAGCTGTGGTTGTTGTCGATGCAGATGTGGTTGTTTTGGTAGCAGCTGTGGTTGATGTGGGAACAGCTGTGGTTGTTGTAGGGGAAGCTGTTGTAGTTGTTGGAGCAGCTGGCGTTGTTGTAGAGGAAGCTGTTGTGGTCGTTGGATTTGCTGTGGTTGTTGTGGGAGCATATGTGGTTGTTGTGAGGATGGCTGTGGTTGTCGGAGCTGTGGCTGTTGTTGTTGTGGGAGCAGCTGTGGTTGTTGTGCGGATGGCTGGTGTTGTAGCCACAACTGTTGTTATCAAACCAGCAGCTGTTTTTGTTGTAAGGGAAACAGCGGTTGTTGTGGGAGCAGCTTTAGTCGTCGTTGGTGCTGCAGTGGTTGTAGTGGGAGCAGCTGTTGTTGTTGTTGTAATGGATGTTGTTGTTGTAGCCACAGCTGTAGTTGTCGTAGCAGCATCAGCTGTGGTTGTTGTGGGAAAAACTGTGGTTGTTGTGGGTGAAGATGTGGTTTTTGTTGGAGCAGCTGTTATTGTTATGAGTGCAGCTGTGGTCGTCGTTCCTCCGGCTGTGGTTGTAGTGGGAGCAGCTGTGGTTGTTGCAGGGGAAGCTGTTGTGGTTGTGGGAGCTGCTGTAGTTGTTTTCAGAGAAAATGTGGTTGGTATGGGTGCATTTGTGGTTGTTGTGGGAGCAGCTGTGGTTGTTGTGGGGATGAGTTTGGTTGTTATAGCCGCAGCTGTTGTTGTCGTAGCAGTAGCTGTGTTTGTTGTGGAAATAGCTGTGGTTGTTGTTGGAGATGCTGTACTTTTTGTAGAGGAAGCTGTTGCGGTCGTTGGATCTGCTGTAGTTGTTGTTGGAGAATATGTTGTTGGTATATCTGTGGTTGTTGTAGGAGCAGCTGTAGTCATCGTTGGTGCTGCAGTGGTTGTTGTGGGAGAAGCTGATGTTCTTGTGGTGATGGCTGTTATTGTTGTAGCCACAGCTTTAGTTGTCGTAGCAGCTGTGGTTGTTGTGGGAGCAGCTGTCGTTGTTGTGGGGATGGTTTTGATTGTTGTAGCTGCAGCAGTTGTTGTCGTAGCATCTGCTGTGGTTGTTGTGGGATTAGCTATGGCTGTTGTAGAGGAAGATGTTGTGGTCGTTGGAGCTGCTGCTGTTGTTGCCGCAGAAGATGTGGTTGTTGTGGGTCCATCTGTGGTTGTTTGTTGTGCAGATGTGGTTGTGTCGGTACCAGCTCTGGTTCTTGGCACATTAGCTGCAGTTGTTGTGGGGATGGCTGTTGTTGTTGTAAACTCAGCTGTTGTTATCATAGCAGCAGCTGTTGTTGTTGTTGTAGGAGAAGCTGTGGTTGTTGTGGGAGCAGCTGTTGTTGTTGTGGGAACAGCTGTGGTTATTGTTAGAACAGCTGTGGTTGTTGTGGGTACAGCTGTGGTTGTTGTAGAGGAAGCTGTTGTAGTCGTTGAAGCTGCTGTTGTTGTTGCCGGAGAAGATGTGGTTGTTGTGGGTGCATCTGTGGTTGTTGTAGGAACAGCTGTGGTTGTTGTTGGTGCAGATGTGGTTGTGTCGGTAGCATTTCTGGTTGTTGGCGCTGCAGTTGTAGTTGTTGTGGGGATGGCTGTTGTTGTCGTAGCCTCAGCTGTTGTTATCATAGCTGCAGCTGTTGTTGTCGTAGGGGAAGCTGTGGTTGTTGTGGGAACAGCTGTTGTTGTTGTGGGGACAGTTGTTGTTTTTATAGCCACAGCTGTAGTTGTCGTAGCAGCAGCAGCTGTAGTTGTTGTGGGAGAAGCTGTGGTTGTTTTTGGATGGAGCTATGGTTGTTGTGGGAGCAGCTGTTTTTGTTGCTGGGTTGACTTTGGTTGTTGTTGGGATGACTTTGGTTGTTATAGCCTCAGCTGTTGTTGTGGGAACAGCTGTGGTTATTGTGGGTACAGCTGTAGTTGTTGTAGGGGAAGGTGTGGTGTTCATTGGAACTGCTGTAGTTGTTGTCTGCGAAGATGTGGTTGTTGTGAGTGCAGCTGTGGGTTGTTGTTGGGATGACTTTGGTTGTTATAGCCTCAGCTGTTGTTGTGGGAACAGCTGTGGTTATTGTGGGTACAGCTGTGGTTGTTGTAGGGGAAGGTGTTTTGGTCATTTGAGCTGCTGTAGTTGTTGTCGGAGAAGATGTGGCTGTTTTGAGTGCATCTGTGGTTGTTTCGATAGCAGCTGTTGTTGTTGTAGCCACAGCTGTTGTTGACGTAACAGCAGCTGTGGTTGTTGTGGAAGAAGGTGTTGTTGTTGTTGCCGCAGCTGTTGTTATCATAGCATCTGATGTTGTTGATGTTGTTGTGGGAGCAGCTGTTGTGGCTGTGGGGTCGGCTTTAGTTGTTGAAGCCGCAAAAGTTGTTGTCATAGCAGCAGCTGTGGTTGTTGTTGGAATAGCTGTATTTGTTGTCGGAGAAGATATGGTTGTTGTGGGTGCATCTGTTGTTGTTCTGGGAGAAGCTGTGGTGGATGAGGAGACGGCTGTGGGTGTCTGTGCTGTGGCTGTGGTTGTTGTCGATGCAGATGTGGTTGTTGTGGTAGCAGCTGTGGTTGTTGTGGGAACAGCTGTGGTTGTTGTAGGGGAAGATGTTGTAGTTGTTGGAGCAGCTGTCATTGTTGTAGAGGAAGCTGTTGTGGTCGTTGGATCTGTTGTGGTTGTCATGGGAGAAGCTGTGTTTGTTGTGAGGACGGCTGTGGTTGTCGGAGCTGTGGCTGTGGTTGTAGTTGGTGCAGATGTGGTTGGTGTTGGAGCTGCTGTAGTTGTTGTAGAGGAAGCAGATTTGGTCGTTGGATATGCTGTAGTTGTTGTCGGAGAAGATGTTGGTGTAGTTGGTGTATCTGTGGTTGTTGTAGGAGCAGTTGTAGTCATCGTTGGTGCTGCAGTGGTTGTTATCATGGCATCTGATGTTGTTGATGTTGTTGTGGGAGCAGCTGTTGTTGATGTGGACGGCTTTAGAGTTGTTGTAGCCGCAGCATTTTGTTGGTCATAGCAGCAGCAGTGGTTGTTTGTTGGAGCAGCTGTGATTGTTGTAGATGAAGCTAGTTGTGGTCGTTGGAGCTGCTGTAGTTGTTGTCGGTGAAGATGTGGGTTTGTTGTGGGGGCATCTGTGTTTGTTGGTGGGAGCAGCTGTGGTGTTGGTTGGGGATGGCTTTGGGTGTCGGAGCTGTAGCTGTGGTTGTTGTGTCGATGCAGGATGTGGTTGTTTTGGGTAGCAGCTGTGGTTGATGTGGGACATCTGTGGGGTTGTTGTAGGGGGAGCTGTTGTGGTCGTTGGATTTGCTGGTGGTTGTTGGGAGAGACATATGTGGGTTGTTGGTGTGAGGGATGGCTTTGGGTTTTCGGAGCTGTGGGCGTTTGTTGTTGTGGGAGCAGCTGTGGTTGTTGTGCGGATGGCTGGTGTTGTAGCCACAACTGTTGTTATCAAACCAGCAGCTGTTTTTGTTGTAAGGGAAACAGCGGTTGTTGTGGGAGCAGCTTTAGTCGTCGTTGGTGCTGCAGTGGTTGTAGTGGGAGCAGCTGTTGTTGTTTTTGTAATGGATGTTGTTGTTGTAGCCACAGCTGTAGTTGTCGTAGCAGCATCAGCTGTGGTTGTTGTGGGAAAAACTGTGGTTGTTGTGGGTGAAGATGTGGTTTTTGTTGGAGCAGCTGTTATTGTTATGAGTGCAGCTGTGGTCGTCGTTCCTCCGGCTGTGGTTGTAGTGGGAGCAGCTGTGGTTGTTGCAGGGGAAGCTGTTGTGGTTGTGGGAGCTGCTGTAGTTGTTTTCAGAGAAAATGTGGTTGGTATGGGTGCATTTGTGGTTGTTGTGGGAGCAGCTGTGGTTGTTGTGGGGATGAGTTTGGTTGTTATAGCCGCAGCTGTTGTTGTCGTAGCAGTAGCTGTGTTTGTTGTGGAAATAGCTGTGGTTGTTGTTGGAGCTGCTGTACTTTTTGTAGAGGAAGCTGTTGCGGTCGTTGGATCTGCTGTAGTTGTTGTTGGAGAATATGTTGTTGGTATATCTGTGGTTGTTGTAGGAGCAGCTGTAGTCATCGTTGGTGCTGCAGTGGTTGTTGTGGGAGAAGCTGATGTTCTTGTGGTGATGGCTGTTATTGTTGTAGCCACAGCTTTAGTTGTCGTAGCAGCTGTGGTTGTTGTGGGAGCAGCTGTCGTTGTTGTGGGGATGGTTTTGATTGTTGTAGCTGCAGCAGTTGTTGTCGTAGCATCTGCTGTGGTTGTTGTGGGATTAGCTATGGCTGTTGTAGAGGAAGATGTTGTGGTCGTTGGAGCTGCTGCTGTTGTTGCCGCAGAAGATGTGGTTGTTGTGGGTCCATCTGTGGTTGTTTGTTGTGCAGATGTGGTTGTGTCGGTACCAGCTCTGGTTCTTGGCACATTAGCTGCAGTTGTTGTGGGGATGGCTGTTGTTGTTGTAAACTCAGCTGTTGTTATCATAGCAGCAGCTGTTGTTGTTGTTGTAGGAGAAGCTGTGGTTGTTGTGGGAGCAGCTGTTGTTGTTGTGGGAACAGCTGTGGTTATTGTTAGAACAGCTGTGGTTGTTGTGGGTACAGCTGTGGTTGTTGTAGAGGAAGCTGTTGTAGTCGTTGAAGCTGCTGTTGTTGTTGCCGGAGAAGATGTGGTTGTTGTGGGTGCATCTGTGGTTGTTGTAGGAACAGCTGTGGTTGTTGTTGGTGCAGATGTGGTTGTGTCGGTAGCATTTCTGGTTGTTGGCGCTGCAGTTGTAGTTGTTGTGGGGATGGCTGTTGTTGTCGTAGCCTCAGCTGTTGTTATCATAGCTGCAGCTGTTGTTGTCGTAGGGGAAGCTGTGGTTGTTGTGGGAACAGCTGTTGTTGTTGTGGGGACAGTTGTTGTTTTTATAGCCACAGCTGTAGTTGTCGTAGCAGCAGCAGCTGTAGTTGTTGTGGGAGAAGCTGTGGTTGTTTTGGATGGAGCTATGGTTGTTGTGGGAGCAGCTGTTTTTGTTGCTGGGTTGACTTTGGTTGTTGTTGGGATGACTTTGGTTGTTATAGCCTCAGCTGTTGTTGTGGGAACAGCTGTGGTTATTGTGGGTACAGCTGTAGTTGTTGTAGGGGAAGGTGTGGTGTTCATTGGAACTGCTGTAGTTGTTGTCTGCGAAGATGTGGTTGTTGTGAGTGCAGCTGTGGTTGTTGTTGGGATGACTTTGGTTGTTGTTGGGATGACTTTGGTTGTTATAGCCTCAGCTGTTGGTTGTGGGAACAGCTGTGGTTATTGTGGGTACAGCTGTGGTTGTTGTAGGGGAAGGTGTGGTGTTCATTGGAACTGCTGTAGTTGTTGTCTGAGAAGATGGGGTTGTTGTGAGTGCAGCTGTGGTTGTTGTTGGGATGATTTTGCTTGTTGTAGCCTCAGCTGTTGTTGGTCTGGGAACAGCTGTGGTTGTTGGTAGATCAGCTGTGGTTGTAGTGGGTACAGCTGTGGTTGTTGTAGGGGAAGGTGTTTTGGTCATTTGAGCTGCTGTAGTTGTTGTCGGAGAAGATGTGGTTGTTTTGAGTGCATCTGTGGTTGTTTCGATAGCAGCTGTTGTTGTTGTAGCCACAGCTGTTGTTGACGTAACAGCAGCTGTGGTTGTTGTGGAAGAAGGTGTTGTTGTTGTTGCCGCAGCTGTTGTTATCATAGCATCTGATGTTGTTGATGTAGTTGTGGGAGCAGCTGTTGTGGCTGTGGGGTCGGCTTTAGTTGTTGAAGCCGCAAAAGTTGTTGTCATAGCAGCAGCTGTGGTTGTTGTTGGAATAGCTGTATTTGTTGTCGGAGAAGATGTGGTTGTTGTGGGTGCATCTGTTGTTGTTCTGGGAGAAGCTGTGGTGGATGAGGAGACGGCTGTGGGTGTCTGAGCTGTGGCTGTGGTTGTTGTCGATGCAGATGTGGTTGTTGTGGTAGCAGCTGTGGTTGTTGTGGGAACAGCTGTGGTTGTTGTAGGGGAAGATGTTGTAGTTGTTGGAGCAGCTGTCATTGTTGTAGAGGAAGCTGTTGTGGTCGTTGGATCTGCTGTGGTTGTCATGGGAGAAGCTGTGTTTGTTGTGAGGACGGCTGTGGTTGTCGGAGCTGTGGCTGTGGTTGTAGTTGGTGCAGATGTGGTTGGTGTTGGAGCTGCTGTAGTTGTTGTAGAGGAAGCAGATTTGGTCGTTGGATATGCTGTAGTTGTTGTCGGAGAAGATGTTGGTGTAGTTGGTGTATCTGTGGTTGTTGTAGGAGCAGTTGTAGTCATCGTTGGTGCTGCAGTGGTTGTTATCATGGCATCTGATGTTGTTGATGTTGTTGTGGGAGCAGCTGTTGTTGATGTGTGGACGGCTTTAGTTGTTGTAGCCGCAGCATTTGTTGTCATAGCAGCAGCAGTGGTTGTTGTTGGAGCAGCTGTGATTGTTGTAGATGAAGCTGTTGTGGTCGTTGGAGCTGCTGTAGTTGTTGTCGGGGAAGATGTGGTTGTTGTGGGGGCATCTGTGTTTGTTGTGGGAGCAGCTGTGGTTGTTGTAGGGATGGCTGTGGGTGTCGGAGCTGTAGCTGTGGTTGTTGTCGATGCAGATGTGGTTGTTTTGGTAGCAGCTGTGGTTGATGTGGGAACAGCTGTGGTTGTTGTAGGGGAAGCTGTTGTAGTTGTTGGAGCAGCTGGCATTGTTGTAGAGGAAGCTGTTGTGGTCGTTGGATTTGCTGTGGTTGTTGTGGGAGCATATGTGGTTGTTGTGAGGATGGCTGTGGTTGTCGGAGCTGTGGCTGTTGTTGTTGTGGGAGCAGCTGTGGTTGTTGTGCGGATGGCTGGTGTTGTAGCCACAACTGTTGTTATCAAACCAGCAGCTGTTGTTGTTGTAAGGGAAACAGTTGTTGTTGTGGGAGCAGCTTTAGTCGTCGTTGGTGCTGCAGTGGTTGTAGTGGGAGCAGCTGTTGTTGTTGTTGTAATGGATGTTGTTGTTGTAGCCACAGCTGTAGTTGTCGTAGCAGCATCAGCTGTGGTTGTTGTGGGAAAAACGGTGGTTGTTGTGGGTGAAGATGTGGTTTTTGTTGGAGCAGCTGTTATTGTTATGAGTGCAGCTGTGGTCGTCGTTCCTCCGGCTGTGGTTGTAGTGGGAGCAGCTGTGGTTGTTGTAGGGGAAGCTGTTGTGGTTGTGGGAGCTGCTGTAGTTGTTTTCAGAGAAAATGTGGTTGGTATGGGTGCATTTGTGGTTGTTGTGGGAGCAGCTGTGGTTGTTGTGGGGATGACTTTGGTTGTTATAGCCGCATCTGTTGTTGTCGTAGCAGTAGCTGTGTTTGTTGTGGAAATAGCTGTGGTTGTTATTGGAGCTGCTGTACTTTTTGTAGAGGAAGCTGTTGCGGTCGTTGGATCTGCTGTAGTTGTTGTTGGAGAATATGTTGTTGGTGTATCTGTGGTTGTTGTAGGAGCAGCTGTAGTCATTGTTGGTGCTGCAGTGGTTGTTGTGGGAGCAGCTGTCGTTGTTGTGGGGATGGTTTTGATTGTTGTAGCTGCAGCAGTTGTTGTCGTAGCATCTGCTGTGGTTGTTGTGGGATTAGCTATGGCTGTTGTAGAGGAAGATGTTGTGGTCGTTGGAGTTGCTGCTGTTGTTGCCGCAGAATATGTGGTTGTTGTGGGTCCATCTGTGGTTGTTGTGGGATCAGCTGTGGTTGTTTGTTGTGCAGATGTGGTTGTGTCGGTACCAGCTCTGGTTCTTGGCACATTAGCTGCAGTTGTTGTGGGGATGGCTGTTGTTGTTGTAAACTCAGCTGTTGTTATCATAGCAGCAGCTGTTGTTGTTGTTGTAGGAGAAGCTGTGGTTGTTGTGGGAGCAGCTGTTGTTGTTGTGGGGACAGCTGTTGTTGTTGTGGGGACAGCTGTTGTTTTTATAGCCACAGCTGTAGTTGTTGTTGCAGTAGCAGCTGTAGTTGTTGTGGGAGCAGCTGTGGTTGTTGTGGGTACATAGTGGTTGTTGTGGGAGCAGCTGTGGTTGTTGTGGGTACAGCTGTGGTTGTTGTGGGAGCAGCTGTATTTGTTGTTGAGATGACTTTGGTTGTTGTTGGGATAACTTTAGTTGTTGTATTCTCAGCTGTTGTTGTTGTGGGAACAGCTGTGGTTATTGTTAGAACAGCTGTGGTTGTTGTGGGTACAGCTGTGGTTGTTGTAGGGGAAGGTGTATTGTTCATTGGAGCTGCTGTAGTTGTTGTCGGAGAAAATGTGGTTGTTGTGGGTGCATCTGTGGTTGTTTTGGTAGCAGCTGTTGTTATTGTAGCCACAGCTGTTGTTGCTGTAGCAGCAGCTGTGGTTGTTGTGGAAGAAGGTGTTGTTGTTGTTGTTGTTGAGGGAGCAGCTGTGGTTTTTGTGGTGATGGCTTTGGTTGTTGTAACCACATCTGTTGCTATCATAGCAGCTGATTTTGTTGATGTTGTTGTGGGAGCAACGGTTGTTGTTGTTGTGGGGACGGCTTTAGTTGTTGTATCCGCAGATGTTGTTTTCAAAGCAACAGCTGTTGTAGTTGTTGTGGGAGCAGCTGTTGCTGTTGTGGCCACAGCTGTAGTTGTCATAGCAGCATCAGCTGTGGTTGTTGTGGGAGAAGCTGTGGTTGTTGTGGGTACAGCAGTGGTTGTTGTGGGTACAGCAGTGGTTGTTGTAACTGTGGCTGTGGTTGTTGTTGGTGCATCTGTGTTTGTTGTGGAAGAAGGTGTTGTTGTTGTTGTTGTGGGAGCAGCTGTGAGTTTTGTGGTGATTGCTTTGGTTGTTGTAGCCACAGCTGTTGTTATCATAGCAGCTGATATTGTTGTTGTTGTTGTTGTGGGGACGGCTTTAGTTGTTGTAGCCGCAGCAGTTGTTGTCGTAGCAGCAACTGTGGTTGTTGTTGGAGCAGCTGTGGTTGTTGTGGGGACGGCTGTTGGTGTTGGACCTGCGGCTGTGGTTATTGTTGGTGCTGATGTGGTTGTTGTGAGGACGCCTGTGGTTGTCAGAGATGCAGCTGTGGTTGTTGTTGTTTCATATGTGGTTGGTGAAGCTGCAGCTGTTGTTGTTGTAGGAGCAGCTGTGGTTGTTGTTGGGATGGCTGTTGTTGTATCCGTAGATGTTGTTGTCAAAGCAACAGCTGTTGTTGTTGTTGTGGGAGCAGCTGTTTTTGTTGTTGTTGTGGGGACGGCTTTAGTTGTTGTATGCGCAGATGTTGTTTTCAAAGCAACAGCTGTTGTAGTTGTTGTGGGAGCAGCTGTTGCTGTTGTGGCCACAGCTGTAGTTGTCGTAGCAGCATCAGCTGTGGTTGTTGTGGGAGAAGCTGTGGTTGTTGTGGGTACAGCAGTGGTTATTGTGGGTACAGCAGTGGTTGTTGTAACTGTGGCTGTGGTTGTTGTTGGTGCATCTGTGGTTGTTGTGGAAGAAGGTGTTGTTGTTGTTGTGGGAGCAGCTGTGAGTTTTGTGGTGATTGCTTTGGTTGTTGTAGCCACAGCTGTTGTTATCATAGCAGCTGATATTGTTGTTGTTGTTGTGGGGACGACTTTAGTTGTTGTAGCCGCAGCAGTTGTTGTAGTAGCAGCAACTGTGGTTGTTGTTGGAGCAGCTGTGGTTGTTGTGGGGACGGCTGTTGGTGTTGGACCTGCGGCTGTGGTTATTGTTGGTGCTGATGTGGTTGTTGTGAGGACGCCTGTGGTTGTCAGAGCTGCGGCTGTGGTTGTTGTTGGTTCAGATGTGGTTGGTGAAGCTGCAGCTGTTGTTGTTGTAGGAGCAGCTGTGGTTGTTGTTGGGATGGCTGTTGTTGTATCCGCAGATGTTGTTGTCAAAGCAACAGCTGCTGTTGTTGTTGTGGGAGCAGCTGTTGTTGTTGTGGGGACAGATGTTGCTGTTGTGGCCACAGCTGTAGTTGTCATAGCAGCATCAGCTGTGGTTGTTGTGGGAGAAGCTGTGGTTGTTGTGGGTACAGCTGTGGTTGTTGTAACTGTGGCTGTGGTTGTTGTCGGTGAAGATGTGGTTGTTGTGGGAGCAGCTGTGATTGTTATTAGTGCAACGCTGGTCGTCGTGGCTCCGGCTGTGGATGTTGTGGGAGCAGCTGTGGTTGTTGTAGTGGAAGCTGTTGTGGTTGTGGGAGCTGCTGTAGTTGTTTTCAGAGAAAATGTGGTTGTTGTAGGTGCATATGTGGTTGTTGTGGGAGCAGCTGAGGTTGTTGTGGGGATGACTTTGGTTGTTGTAGCCGCAGCTTTTGTTGTCGTAGCAGAAGCTGTGGTTGTCGTGGAAACAGCTGTGGCTGTTGTAGGAGCAGTTGTAGTTGTTGTAGAGGATACTGTTGTGGTCGTTGGATCTGCTGTGGTTGTTGTCGGAGAAGATGTTGTTGTTGTGGGTGTATCTGGGGTTGTTGTAAGAGCATTTTTAGTCGTCGTTTGTGCTGCAGTGGTTGTTTTGGGAACAGCTGATGTTGTAGCCACAGCTGTACTTGTCGTAGCAGCACCAGCTGTGGTTGTTGTGGGAGAAGCGGTGGTTGTTGTGGGGACGGCTGTTGTTGTAGCCGCAGAAGTTGTTGTCGTAGCAGCAGCTGTGGTTGTTGTGGGATCAGCTGTCATTGTTGTAGGGGAAGCTTTTGAGGTTGTGGGAGCTGATGTAGTTGGTGTCGGAGAAATAGTGATTTTGGGAGCAGCTGTGGTTGTTGTTGGAATTACTTTGGTTGTTGCAGCCTTATGTGTTGTTGTGGGAACAGCTGTGGTTGTTGTAGGGGAAGCTGTTGTGGTCGTTGGAGCTGCTGTAGTTGTTGTCGGAGAAGATGTTGTTGTTGTAGGTGCCTCTGTGGTTGTTTCGGTGGAAGCTGTGGTTGTTGTATCCACAGCTGTAGTTGTCGTAGAAGCAGCTGTGGTTGTTGTATGGGAAGCTGTTGTGGTTGTCGAAGCTGCTGTAGTTGTTGTGGGAGAAAATATGGTAGATGTTTGTGCATCTGTGGTTTTTGTGGGAGCAGCTGTAGTTGTTGTAGCAGCAGCTGTTGTTATTGTTGTGGGAGCAGCTGTGGTTGTTGTGGGGGCAGCTGTGGATGTTCTTGGAACATATGGGGTTGTTGTAGGGGAAGCTGTTGTGGTTGTGGGAGCTGCTGTAGTTGTTGTCTGAGAAAATGTGGTTGTTGTGGGTGCATCTGTGGTTGTTGTGGGAGCAGCTGCAGTTGTTGTTGTGGGGACAGCTGTTGTTTTTTTAGCAACAGCTGTAGTTGTCGTAGCAGCAGCAGCAGCTGTGGTTATTGTGGGAAAAGGTTTGGTTGTGGTTACAGCTGTTGTTGTTATAGGGGAAACTGTTGAGGTTGTAGGAGCTGCTGTAGTTGTCATCTGAGAAAATGTGGTTGTTGTGGGTTCATCTGTGGTTGTTGTGTGGAAGGCTGTGGTTATCGTTGATGCAGATGTGGTTGTTTCAGTAGCAGCTATGGTTGTTCTAGCCACAGCTGTTGTTGTCATAGCAGCAGCTGTTGTTGTTGTGGGAGAAGCTGTTGTGTTTGTTGTGGGAGTAGCTGTGGTTGTTGTGTGGATGGCTGTGGTTGTTGTAGCTGTAGCTGTTCTTATCACAGCAGCAGCTGTTGTTATTGTAGAGGAAACTGTGGTTGTTGCTGCTGTGGTTGTTGTGGGAGCAACTGGGGTTCTTGTGGGGACGGCTGTGGTTGTAGTGGGAGCAGCTGTAGTCGTCGTTTGTGCTGCAGTGGTTGTTGTGGGAGATGCTGCGGTTGTTGTGGGTACAGCTGTGGTTTTTGTAGGGACAACTTTTGTTGTTGTTGCCACAGCAGTTGTCGTCATAGCAGCAGCTGTGGTTGTTGTTGGAGAAGTTGTGGTTGTTGTAGAGGAAGCTGTTGTGGTTGTTGGAGCTGCTGTAGTTGTCGGAGAAGATGTGGTTGTTGTGGGTGCATCTGTGGTTGTTGCATGAGCAGCTGTGATTGTTATGAGTGCAGCTGTGGTCGTCATAGCTCCGGCTGTGGTTGTTGTGGGACCACTTGTGGTTGTTGTGAGAACAGCTGTGGTTTTTGTAGTCATAGTTGGTGCTGCAGTGGTTGTTGTGGGAGCAGCAGTTGTTGTTGTTGTTGGGACGGCTGTTGTTGTTGTAGCCACAGCTATTGATGCCGTAGCAGCAGCCGCTGTGGTTGTTGTGGGTGCAGCTGCGGTTATTGTGCTAGCAATTGTAGTTCTATTAGCAGCAGCTGTGGTTGCTGTTGATGCAGCTGTTGTTATTGTCGGTACTTCTGTGGTTGATGTCGGAGAAGCTGTGGTTTCTGTTCGAGACACTATGGTTGTTGTTGGAGCAGCTGTGATTGTTGTGGGGACGGCTGTGGTTGTTGTGGAAGAAGGTGTCATTGTTGTGAAGACGGCTGTGGTTGTTGTAGCCGCAGCTGTAGTTGTCGTTGGTGCTGCTGTGGTTGTTGTGGGAGCAGCTGTTGCTGATGTAGCAGCAGCTGTGGTTGTTGTGGTTGCAGCAGCAGTTGTGGGAGCAGCTGAGGTTGTTGTGGGAGTAGCTGAGGTTGTTCTGGCGATTGCTGTGGTTATTGTGGGGACTTCTATGGTTGATGTCTGAGAAGCTGTGGTTTCTGAGGCAGCAGCTTGGGTTGTCGTTTGAGCCACTGTGGTTGTTGTGGTGGCAGAGGTTGTTGTTGTGGGAACAGCTGAGGTTGTTTTGGGAGTTGTGGGAGTAGCTGAGGTTGTTGTGGAAGCTGCTGTGGTTATTGTGGGGACTTCTGTGGTTGACGTCGAAGAAGCTGTGTTTTCTGAGGCAGCAGCTTGGATTGTCATTTGAGCAGCTGTAGTTGTTGTTATTTTATCTGCTGCTGTTGCAGTTTTCGTTGCCGCAGCTTTGGTTGTGGTTGGGGAAGCTGTGGTTGTCATGGGAGAAGCTAAGGTTGTTGTTGGGACAGCTGTTGTTGAAGCCTCAGCTGTTGATGACATAGCAGAAGCTGTGGTTGTTGTGGCATCAGCTGGAGTTATTGTGGGAACTTCTGTGGTTGTTGTTGGAGAAGCTGTGGTTGTTGTTGGAGCAGCTGTGGTTGTTGTGGGGACAACTCTGGTTGTTGTGGAATCAGGTGTGGTTGTTGTGGGAGCAGCTGATGTTGTTGTGGTGGCAGCTGTGGTTATTGTAGGGGCTTCTGTGGTTGATGTCGGAGAAGCTGTGGTTTCTGTGACGTAAGCTGTGGTTGTCGTTTGAGCCGCTGTGGTTGTTGTGGGGATGGTCGTGGTTGTTGTGGAAGCAGATGTGGTTATTGTAGGGACTTCTTTGGTTGATGTTGGAGAAGATGTGGATTCTTTGGTGGCAGCTGTGTCTGTCTTTTGAGCCTCTGTGCTTGTTTTGGTGGCAGCTGTTGTTGTTGTGTCTGCTGCTGTTGGAGTCGTAGCTGTAGTTGTTGTTGCAGCTGCTGCAGTTCTGGGAGCAGGTATGGTTGTTGTGGGGACGGCTGTGGTTGTTATAGCCACAGCTGTTGTTGGAATAGCAGCTGCGTTGGTTGCTGTTAGGGAATTTGTGGTTGTCGAGGGAACAGCTGTGGTTATTATGGGAGCAGCTAAGGTTGTTGTTGGAATGGCTGTTGTTTTAGCTGCAGCTGTTGATGACATAGGAGCAGCTGTGGTTATTTTGGGGACTTCTGTGGTTGATGTTGGAGAAGCTGTGGTTTCTGCGGCAGCAGCTGTGGTTATCATTTGAGCCGCTGTTGTTGTTGGAGCAGCTGTGTTTGTTGTGGGGATGGCTGTGGTTGTTGCAGCTGTAGTCGTTGTCGGTCCATCTGTTGCGTACGTAGCAGAAGCTGTGGTTTTTGTGGCTGCAGCAGTAGTTGTTATTGTGGGAGAAGCTGTGGTTGTTGTCGGAGCAGCTGTGGTGGTTGTGGCCGTAGCTGTGGTTATTGTGGGGACTTCTGTGGTTGATGGCGGAGAATCTGTGGTTTCTGTGACAGCAGCTGGGGTTATCGTTTGAGCCACTGTGCTTGTTGTGGTGGCAGCTGTTGTTGTTGTGCTTGCTGCTGTTGTAGTCGAAGGTGTAGTTGTAGTTGCAGCTGCTGCGGGATTGGGAGTAGCTATTGTTGTTGTGGGGACGGCCATGGTTGTTGTGGGAGAAGATGTGGTTGTTGAGGGAGCAGCTCTAGTTATTATGGGAGCAGCTGTGGTTGTTGTTGGGATGGCTGTTGTTGTAGCCGCAGCTGTTGATGACATAACAGCATCTGTGTTTGTTGTGGCGGCAGCTGTGGTTATTCTGGGGACTTCTTTGGTTGATGTCGGAGAAGCTATGGTTTCTGTGGCAGCAGCTGGGGTTGTCGTTTGAGCCGCTGCTGTTGTTGTGGATGCAGCTGTTACTGACATAGCAGCAGCTGTGGTTGTTGTGGCTGCAGCAGTAGTTGTTGTTGTGGGAGAATCTGTGGTTGTTGTTGGAGCAGCTATGGTTGTTGTGGCGGCAGCTGTGGATATTGTGGGGACTTCTGTGGTTGATGTCAGAGAAGCTGTGGTTTCTGTGAAATCAGATGGGGTAGTCGTTTGAGCCACTGTGTTTGTTGTGGTGTCTGCTGCTGTTTTAGTCATAGTGGCATATTTGGTTGTTGTGGCAGCAGCTGTATTTTTCATGATGTCATCTGCGGTGGTATTTGCAGCATCTGTTGTCAATGGTGCTGCTGTTGTAGTTGTAACACTAGCTGTGGTTGTCTTTGGGGCAGCTGTAGTTGTCGTGGGGACAGCTGTGGTTGATGGTGCAGCTGTGGTTGTTGTAGGGGCAGTTGTGGTTGTTGTGGGAGCTGCTGTGGTTGTTGTTGGAGCGTCTGTGGTTGTTGTCGGCTCAGCTGTGGTTGATTGTGCTGACACAGTTGTCAAGATTGTTGTTGCCATAAGTACTGTTGACGGAATGGAAATTATCAATCGGTATCTTTGTTGTTGTTTCACGTTTCATCATACCCAGCACATTTATGTATGTGGAGAGGAGGCGAGGTGAGTAGTCATGCTGTACTTCGCTCCGCAGGTAATATGACACATTACATTACAATGGAACGATTTGATTAGTGTAATGTTAGCTAGCTACATAGTTGTATTTGTATCAAAGATAAAGGTGTAGTATAGAGAAACTATCGAGGTTAGCTAGCCAGCTACATTCGTTCGCAGCGACGCCGTTTTTCAAACAAAGTCAACACCGCAGCCATTGCTAGCTAGCTGTACTGTAGCAACTAAATACAATATCCTTTTAGCCAGCTACATTCGTTCGCAGTGACGCCATTTTTCAAACAAAGTCATCACCGCAGCCATTGCTAGCTAGCCAACGCTACCAGCACTGTAGCAACTAAATACAATATAATTTTAGCCAGCTACATTCGTTCGCAGCGACGCCGTTTTTCAAACAAAGTCAACACAGCAGCCATTGCTAGCTAGCCAACACTACCAGCTAGCAGTACTGTAGCAACTAAATACAATATCATTTTAGCCAGCTACACTCGTTCGCAGCGACGCCGTTTTTCAAACAAAGTCAACACCACAGCCATTGTTAGCTAGCCAACACTACCAGCTAGCAGTACTGTAGCAGCTAAATACAATATAATTTTAGTCAATGAGAATTTTGCAACATAAAGCTTCCCTTTCTGAACATTCGAGATGTGTAGTCCACTTGTGTAGCTAGCATGACTGACTTTGTGCTAGCTAGCCAACGTTTAATTAGTGCTGCGTTATGAAAGGAACTGGACACGAATTATCTGTTTAGTGTGTTAACACACTATTGGTAGTTTGTTGTAACCAAGTATTGGTGCTAAACCGTGTGTTATTGGATGCTAGCATGCTAGTTAGCTATGGCGTCATAGGATACGGTGCCCTGGGCGGTTTTCATGGAAGAATACTGTACCAAGTTAGCTAGCTGAATAAAGTAAGTTAGAGTCTATTCCTAGAAACATTGAACCGCTGTAGTTTACAGCAATTCTAATTTCTAAAGTGGAAGTTGGGAGAGTTATATTCGGGTATTTCAGTGAAACAATTATAGTTTCTGAGGTGGAAGTTGGGAGAGTTATATTTGGGAGTTGTGGTGAGGGAGGCCCCGCTCTCTCCTTTCCCAGATGTTTAATTCATTTCATTCCGATCTCCTCTGCATTATTGTAGCCATTTGCTGCAGCCTGTCAACTATGCCTCTGCCTATCCCTGTTCTCTCCTCTCCGCACAGGCTACACAAACGCCTCACACCGCGTGGCTGCTGCCTCTCTAACCTGGTGGTCCCTGCACGCACCACACACCTGGAGTTCCAGGTCTCAGGCAGCCTCTGGAACTGCCGTTCTGCTGCCAACAAGGCAGACTTCATCCCAGCCTATGCTACCCTCCAGTCCCTCGACTTCTTGGCGCTGACGGAAACATGGATTACCACTGAAAACACTGCTACTCCTACTGCTCTCTCCTCGTCTGACCATGTGTTCTCGCATACCCCGAGAGCATCTGGTCAGCGGGGTGGTGGCACAGGAATCCTCATCTCTCCCAAGTGGACATTCTAAATTTTTCCCCTAACCCATCTTTCCATCTCCTCATTTGAATTCCATGCTGTCACAGTCACTAGCCCATTTAAGCTTAATATCATTGCCATCTATCGCCCTCCAGGTTCCCTTGGAGAGTTCATCAATGAGCTTGACGCCTTGATAAGTTCCTTTCCTGAGGATGGCTCACCCCTCACAGTTTTGGGGGATTTCAACCTCCCTACGTCTTCATTTGACTCATTTCTCTCTGCCTCCTTCTTTCCACTCCTCTCCTCTTTTGACATCACCCTCTCACCGTCCCCCCCTACTCACAAGGCAGGCAATACGCTTGACCTTATCTTTACTAGATGCTGTTCTTCTACTAATCTCACTGCAACTCCCCTCCATGTCTCCGACCACTACTTTGTATCCTTTTCTCTCTCGCTCTCCTCCAACACTACTCACTCTGCCCCTACACAGATGGTAATGCGCCGCCGCAACCTTCGCTCTCTCTCTCCCGCTAACCCTCCTCCCTCTCTGTGGATGACTTCGTCAAACTTTGAAAAGAAGGTTGACGACATCCGATCCTTGTTTGTTAAGTCAAATGACACTGCTGGTCCTGCTCACACTGCCCTACCCTATGCTTTGACTTCTTTCTCCCCTCTCTCTCCAGATAAAATCTTGCGACTTGTGACTGCAGGCCGCCCAACAACCTGCCCGGTTGACCCTATCTCCTCCTCTCTTCTCCAGACCATCTCCGGTGACCTTCTCCCCTACCTCACCTCGCTGATCAACTCATCCTTGACCGCTGGCTATGTCCCTTCTGTCTTCAAGAGAGCGAGAGTTGCACCCCTTCTCAAAAAACCAACACTCGATCCCTCTGATGTCAACAACTACAGACCAGTATCCCTTCTTTCTTTTCTTTCCAAAACTATTGAGTGTGCCGTCTTTAGCCAACTCTCTTGCTATCTCTCTCAGAATGACCTTCTTGATCCAAACCAGTCAGGTTTCAGGACTGGTCATTCAACTGAGACTGCTCTTCTCTGTGTCACGGAGGCTCCCCGCACTGCTAAAGCTAACTCTCTCTCCTCTGCTCTTGTCCTTCTAGACCTGTCTGCTGCCTTTGATACTGTGAACCATCAGATCCTCCTCTCCACCCTCTCCGAGCTGGGCATCTCCGGCGCGGCTCACTCTTGGATTGCGTCCTACCTGACCGGTCGCTCCTACCAAGTGGCGTGGCGAGAAGCTGTCTCCGCACCACGCGCTCTCACCACTGGTGTCCCCCAGGGCTCAGTTCTAGGCCCTCTCCTATTCTCGCTATACACCAAGTCACTTGGCTCTGTCATATCCTCACATGGCCTCTCCTATCATTGCTACGCTGACGATACACAACTAATCTTCTCCTTTCCCCCTTCTGATAACCAGGTGGCGAATCGCATCTCTGCATGTCTGGCAGACATATCAGTATGGATGACGGATCACCACCTCAAGCTGAACCTTGGCAAGACGGAGCTGCTCTTCCTCCCGGGGAAGGACTGCCCGTTCCATGATCTCGCCATCACGGTTGACAACTCCGTTGTGTCCTCCTCCCAGAGTGCGAAGAGCCTTGGCGTGACCCTGGACAACACCCTGTCGTTCTCCGCTAACATCAAGGCGGTGACCCGATCCTGTAGGTTCATGCTCTACAACATTTGGAGAGTACGACCCTGCCTTACACAGGAAGCGACACAGGTCCTAATCCAGGCACTTGTCATCTCCCGTCTGGATTACTGCAACTCGCTGTTGGCTGGGCTCCCTGCCTGTGCCATTAAACCCCTACAACTCATCCAGAATGCCGCAGCCAGTCTGGTGTTCAACATTCCCAAGTTCTCTCACGTCACCCCACTCCTCCGCACACTCCACTGGCTTCCAGTTGAAGCTCGCATCTGTTACAAGACCATGGTGCTTGCATATGGAGCTGTGAGGGGAACGGCACCTCCGTACCTTCAGGTTCTGATCAGTCCCTACACCCAAACGAGGGCATTGCGTTCATCCACCTCTGGCCTGCTGGCTCCCCTTCCTCTGCGGAAGCATAGTTCCCGCTCAGCCCAGTCGAAACTGTTCGCTGCTCTGGCACCCCAATGGTGGAACAAGCTCCCTCACGACGCCAGGACAGCGGAGTCACTCACCACCTTCCGGAGACATTTGAAACCCCACCTCTTTAAGGAATACCTGGGATAGGATAAAGTAATCCTTCTACCCCCCCCCCCCCCAAAAAAAATAAATAAATAAATACATTGTAAAGTGGTTATCCCACTGGCTATAGGGTGAATGCACCAATTTGTAAGTCGCTCTGGATAAGAGTGTCTGCTAAATGACGTAAATGTAATGTCAATGTAAATTTAAGGGGGAATTTGAAGTGTCTGTCCTATATCTGAGAGATATACAAAAGATCAGGAAGCTATTTTTTTTTTTTTACACATATCTGACTCCTTTTTTTAGGCACTAAACTACCTCCATACATACTTCCATAATTTGTTTTAACTGGTACCGGGCTGCCTTCAGTGGAGTCTTGTGAGGCTTGGTGGCGTCCTAGAGCAAAACAACCGACATGCCCGTGTTCGTGAGAGACTCACCTTTGCATAGAGGGGTCAATAGTTTGTAGGCCAAACCATTTGGACGCAACAGACGTAGGTCTGACAAACACAGCTGTAGCTCTGCCACCTTTCACCGCAGTTGTGGAAGGCCGATATCTGCGGATGTTGTGGATTGCCCATCCAAAAATAGATCTCTAGCTTAAACAAACTGATTTGAACAGGGATTTCTTTCTTTTGTTAATTAGATTTCCGGACATTGACTCAAGGGTTCAAGCAGGCAGAAATACAGCCAGTATGACGAGTTTTGAATCATTTCTTACATTTGGCATTACATTAAAATTAGTTGTGCGGTGATTGGACTGTGTTATGCAGTAATGATTGGTCAAATATGCAATCCCTCGCATGATATGCAGAGAATTGTTGATTTTGCTAAACCTTTTCCAATCGCAGGATCCCTGGGTTCCCTGGGTCTTCCATTTTGAAGAGGTGGTAACCTACTCCAGAGGTATTTCAGAGGCTTTCAGGGCTCAGACCC